GGGGAAAGGATACTGTAAATCTCCATTCCCACCCCACTCTGGGGAAAAGATACTGTAAATCTCCGTTCCCTCCCCACTCCGGGGGAAGGATACTGTAAAATCTCCATTCCCTCCCCACTCCGGGGGAAGGATACTGTAAATCTCCATTCCCTCCCCACTCCGGGGGAAGGATACTGTAAATCTCCATTCCCTCCCCACTCCGGGGGAAGGATACTGTAAAATCTCCATTCCCTCCCCCCTCCGGGGGAAGGATACTGTAAATCTCCATTCCCTCCCCACTCCGGGGAAAGGATACTGTAAAATCTCCGTTCCCTCCCCACTCCGGGGGAAGGATACTGTAAATCTCCATTCCCACCCCACTCCGGGGAAAGGATACTGTAAATCTCCGTTCCCTCCCCACTCCGGGGGAAGGATACTGTAAAATCTCCATTCCCTCCCCACTCCGGGGGAAGGATACTGTAAATCTCCATTCCCACCCCACTCCAAGAAGGTTACTACAAAATCCCATTCCTTCCCCACCCCACTAACCTGCTTTCCAGCTCCATTCTCCTGTGCAGGACAACAAAAGAAGACCCAGCCAATCAGCTGGGACTTGGGAGGCAGAGAATAGATGGCAGCCAAAATTCTCCCAAGTTTATGTGTAAGCCTAATCAAGTTATCAGAAATGCTAGCAGTTGCTGTTGCCAAAGAAGATATGCTACTTAGTGAAAGCAAAGGTTCAAATATCTTTGCACATACAAATATGTAGCTTTGTATCACATAATTCAATAAATGAAAAAAGTATGTTTTTTACTCATTTGGTAAATTAGGTTTTATTTATTTTATGACTTACATGGCAAACAAATCAAACAAATATTTAACATTCATAAAATAAAATCTTAAGTTCAACTGTATATGCATTATATCCGAGACTGGATACTATAGTCCAGTGATGGCTCACCTTTTCGTCATGTGCTGAAAGTGCGTGCATGAGCGTGCGTGCACACATGTGTGCCTGCACCCATAATGTAATGCGTGTGCGACCCCATGCCCCTGCGCATGTGCACACAACCCATGCTCCCCCTGCACCCTGCGCATGCGTGTGACCCCCGTGCACGCTCCACATCTCTGCACATGCATGCGTGTCTCCCATACGCACCCCATCCCCCATGCATGCATGGCAGATACCCGACAATTAGCTGGCTAGCAGGAGGTGCACACGCATGTGCAGGGGACCTAATCTGGAGCAACGGCTCGCGTGCCAGCAGAGATGGTTCTTCCTGCACGCGTGCCATAGGTTCACCATCACGGCTATAGTCTGCTAGTACAATAAAAGCCTTTGGAGATAAATGTGAATTTACTTAAGATTTGTTACTGGAAAGCAGAACAATCTTCCTTTGAAAGTTTACTTTTGCTATGTTAATATTGCAAATCTAGGTTTTAACATCAGGAAGCATCAGCTATATTAGCTTGATCTTTTGTTTTTAATTCCATAGTTCTTATCAGTCTTAAACTATGATAGGCGGATGAATCATGAAGTATCAGTAATGGAAGGAACATTTAACTTTCTAGACAAGGTAAGTTTCCTTATGGAATAAACTTTAATAAAAAATATGGAATATGCTACCCACTCAACATATTTGCCTTAGACTTACGGATGTCCTCATATTTATACTGGCTAAAGGAAGACAATTTTGAGTTCTTGCTAATGCTATGAAGTATTTCCAATCACTTCTGCTTTTGCTTTTTACCACATCTGTAACCTTCAGACTACAGTCCAAATTTGTTACCTAAAATTTTTCTTTTTCTAGTGACCTCCTAACCCTTTTTTCTCATTATTTACTAAGCTTGCTACATGAAGAGGATTAACTCTTACTAGAACAATTTTATTTGCAAACTTGTTTGCACGCAAATGTCCACCACCCAGCTACTAGATGGGATTATTTTGGGAGTTTCAGTCAGTAGGATTTATTTCAATATATACTGTTCAATTCTGCCTCTGCTTATCTTCAGAGTTATCATATAAATGAACTGTGATTTTTCTTCCTCTATCTGAATAAAACACAGCATCAGTTAATCTTCTCATTCTAGCTGTTAGTTGTTTTTATTTATAATGCATCAAGAGACAACATTGAAGAATAGTTTATACCAGTTCTTTGTTTTATTTGCTTTTTATTTCTACCTTAATATCATTTTTCCTCAAAGCATTTAAGAGTGTATTATAGATCTTAAATCAGTGGTCTCAATTTAATGATTATCTTGAATTATTGAATGTTTATGAAGTCTAAAATATAGCTGAAAAAAATATTGCTTCAGTTCTTAAGTATTTCCACAATGAATCAATTTTTATAGACTAAATATAATACCATTTTGGAAAGGGGATAGAACAGAAGGAATAAAAAGTTGTTTGCAAGCAACTTAGGTTGACAGCATATCAGAATGAGTTAGAACTGAATGGTAGAAAGATCACTAACAACCTGAACTATTTAAAGTAGATAATATATAAATAATTTGAAAAAAATATTATATATTGATGAAGCTTAAGTATCTTCTGTTAGTCATATATGACCTCAAGCACTTGGCCTGAACTGTAGTAGCTTTAAATAGCTAAATATTAATACCCTAACAAGAATTATGATCAAACTCTGTACATCTTTTTTGTTAACATTCATACCAGAATTGTAAAGCATAAAAAATATACAGTGTTCAGACACAAAGTAGGCAAGAGTGTTCCAAACATGTCGTAGACATTTTCTCATACCTATCATCTACACCTTAAAGAATATGTACCTTTTCCTGGGCCTGCATAGATAGATGCAGGAAAACAAAAACAATTCCTCCTATTTTTTTGAGCCTGTATAGCTACCATAGAAGCTCAGAAAAAGCCACTGTCTTTTTAAAGAGAAGCCAGTAGAAACAGAAAGCACTCCTACCAGATCAAAATCTTTTATATGGTTGAGTGCTTTTTTTTTAGTAATACAATTCAACTTCTCACTGAGGGGGAAGCAACTTACCAAACTAATAAGTTCTATAGTCATTGGGATCCCTCACTTTCTATTAATAGTTTTAGTTACTGGCTACATTTTTAAACTTTGAATTCAATTATACAGTATTAAAAGCTAACATTATCCTTCTTTACAGAAGAAATAAAATTTGTTTTAGCAACTTTTCATTTAATACATTCTAAAGATCCCTTTTTAATCATTCTGTTTTTAATTACCAGGTTCACAAGAAAAATATAGAACAAAAAGAAAAAGTAATTAAAGAATTAGAGAAACAAATACACTTAAAAGAGGTAGCAAACCAGAAGTTCAGCAAGAAATTACAAGAAATGCTTGTTATTGTATCAGAAAGGCGGCACATTTATGAGGCTACTGGTAAGTCATATGCAAGGATATCACTCAAAAAAATAAAAATGGACCACACAGCTAATGAGTTCACATTATGTCCTCTTTATGAAAAATCAGTTTCCCCCGAAAATAATCTAGATATTATCAAAGTGGGTAATTTTTCCTAGGTCAATTACCAACTTCCATAACATTGTTAAGCATTGCAGCATATTCTAACAATTCTATTAATTCCAGTTTCTTTCAATAGTTTCTTTCAATAGTTTCTTTCAATAGTTTTGAGATGGTGACTGATCTTCTACCACTAGCAACTGGATCACTTTGTTCAGTGAACCTTTCAGCAATACTGAAGGGCAGCAGATGAATCTAATAAAAAAAAAAAAAAGCTGTTTGGGATGAAGTAATTTGTTTCATCAATCATATAATGATGTACAGCTCATAACAGCAAGAGGATAGTTACCATAGTCCTACTTGTATTAGTAAATTTGAAAGATGGGGAAAACTGGTAATCAGTTCATTGATTTTATTCTGAATATTTTTGTTTAAAAACCAGACTCAGAACTACTGAACCAAAATATTGCTAAGGAGCATTATGAGGACATTGTGCAACGACAGCAGCTGGTAGATCTTGCAAAAGCACAAGCCCAGGAGTTGACCATCCTTCAAGCTGAAGTGGAAAGATTGAGAATGAGAACATTCCCAGCTTTCTTTGATGTGTAACAATTTTAGCAATAAACAGTCTTAGGCAAGGTAGTTTTTTTCTCTTTCAACTTTATTCTTTATTACATTAAGATAGCTTTATAAATATTGTGTCATAATTCATTTTGATCACTTCAACATATTTATATTCACAATGCATTTAAATAAATTTACCAGTTTGTATTGTAACAGATTACTATTGTCATACTAAAACTGGGATATTTAGATATTCCACTTTTACAAAACCAAAAGATGCGCAGAATTAAAAACTCATAAACAGAAATATATCCTTGTGAATGGAGAATTGTCCTAAAGCTACTTGGCAAAAGAAATTGACTGAAAGATTGCAATTTGAAGAGAGACTGAGTTAAGAACAAATGAGAAGGGGCATAACAGCAGACTCTTGGAGTTTAATGTATTAAATAAGGAGGGGTAGATGATCAGGATTCAAATATAGAGGGTGGACTAAAACAAAAGTAGCAGGTCCTTATAATAATCTAGTCATACAGTTCAGAACTTAAATTCAATTCTTGAAAATAGTCATTTTTTATATATTTTTAAGACTGAAATAAAACACTAATGTTTATGGATCTGTAAAATCTTCATCTGTTCGGATATAATGTAAGAGTTTGTCATCTAATCCAAAATTGTCAATCAGTTGAGTCAGACTTAATTTCTTGTTATCAGTAGATAAGGCTGATTGCAGCTCATATAGAATTGCTTGGGAACCCTTTCTCCATTTTGATATCAGAAACTGTAACTCTTCTGGGTTATTCTGTAGGGAAATAGAAAAAAGCAATACTTCTAGAGTAATGTGTTGAAATAGCTGAAATGGATAACCTAGACAAAGGTTCCAATAGAGCAGCTGTTCCCAACCTTTGTGGCTTGGCCTGGCTGGAGGATGAGAGGGGAACTAGGCTGTGTGGGCCTTGTGGAAGTGGTGGGCTGGCGCGCATACGCTAAGCACAATTAGCGGGAGTGGCAGACTGGCATGCACATACATGAGTGCCCGCCAGCCTACCACTTGTGGAAGTCGAGCTGCATGTGCGCGTTCGTGTGCTCCAGCCAGTCACTCGCACGACCCAATTCCGAATAGGTCATGGCCTGGTAGTCGGCCAAAGCCCAGGGGTTAGAAACCCCTGCAATAGAGTACAGAAATTCACAGAATTAGAAGTATAAATATCAAGATTTTCTCTCTGCCCCATGTTTGTAATGTACTTTCCACTTGAAAGAACAAAGTATCATATAAAAAAACTATTTTAAAAATCTTATTAGACAGACTAACTTTGAATGTACACTAATTAGCATACTTTAAAATGAATTTTTTTGCATACAATATATCTTAACTTACTTAAGTGTAGAATTATAAATTTATTTGTATAAGTACATAAATATTAGCACAGTTAAACAATGGTTATGACTTCTGCAAGGAAAAATCATAATTTTAATGTGTGCAAACAGACAAGAATGAGTGAAAGACATTGAGTACAAGTATAATTTATATAGAACAGAATAGATAGAACTGTTTAATGGCCAAGTGTGATTGGACACACAATGAATTTGTCTTTGGTGCATATGCTCTCAGTGTACATAAAGAAAAAATAAAATATGTTCATCAAGAATTATAAGATAATATAATCATAAGAATTATTACATAAAAATAAATCTTTTCAGCTTTAAATTAAAAATAGAGTACTCTACATATTTGCAAGAAATAGTATCTTATGAAGGAAATGGTCAATTTCCATTACAGTTAAAGACTTATTTAGCTCTAGAATAGATGGAAGCAAGTATATTATGCAAGAATGAACTGGAACAGAAATTGGCCTGATGACATGCTAAGATTGGTTAGTATTTGGGAATACAATAGCATTATATAAAGTGTTAAAAAACAACCTTATCAACGTGATTTGTTTTTAATATATTTAAATTTATTTTAAACTTTCTGAAGTTTTAATATTTACTTTACTTACCTTTGTTCTATATAGTTTTACCAATTTAAGTCTTCTAAGAATGTCTTCTTTTTCCTGAAGTTGCTTCATTAGTGTCATCTTTTCCTCCAACAGCTCCCATTGTTTACAGTCTCTGCCCAACAAATTAATTTCTGAAGAATTGTGTGTAGAGTTATTATATCCATTGTATTCAGATAGTGATCTGTCTTCTGCAGAACTCTTTGAACATATAGTTTCATCAGGAACTTTTTCCAAGCACTTATCCTCAGCATGTGATACAGAACATGGTTCTTCCTTAGATAAAGTTTTCTCCTTTGGATTACTATTGTTTTCATCATCTATTTTAAGTTGTTTGGCAACAATAAAATTTGAATGAAAAGATCTTCTTGTTTTCTTCAACCGTTCTCGTAGAGTTGTACTCATTAACTAGTATAAATGTAATTAAGAACTGTTTTTTAATCATATAAACATATAAACATATTAAATACATTTCTTGGTATATTTATTACCTGTTTCCCTAAGCTGCTGCTTTGAACAGAATTCTCACAATTCTCTGGAGTGCAGGATAACGATCTAGGTTTGTTCAATATAGGGGTCCCCATTTTGAGAATTGACTAACCTGCTTGAAAGATAGATAGAATACTTCAAGGTTAAGATAGCAATTTCCATTTATCGGTTTAAATTCATCTTATTCAATATTGCTTGAATTCTGGAGTCTTACAGTACTGAAGTAGGAACCCTGGTTAATTGATCTCATGAACAATCTAAATCATAAACTAGCAACTTGTACATTTGTTGCTAGAATAGCTAAAGCCACAAGTCTTTAATACTCCTAGACAAATCTCCTTGGGTATGTATGTGTGTATCCACACACACACACAAAATTTGCAATTTGCATGTGAAAGACTCTATACTCTTAACGATAAAGCTTCTTTCACAAGCTTTAACTAAGCTTCTTTTGAAGCAGAATTATCTATTCTGCACAGTGGTGGATTAAGGCTCACTGGTGCCCTAAGCACTGACAAATCTTGGTGCCCCCCTCCTTTGTACATACTGTACAAAGCCAAACTTAGGCTACATAAAAGTTTTTGTGGTGCCCTCTTTGGGACTGATGCCCTAAGCACGTGCTTAGTCTGCTTAATGGTTAATACACCACTGATTCTGCAGGATTCAAGTAGTGAAACCGAAATGTGAGCTGAAATAGTCACCTATTTTACTTGAGCATGTAATTGACAACATCTGGCCTTGTTAATGTCTCCTATAATAGCTGCATGGGAGCCGAGAACTAGTAAGCCCATGAGGAGATGGGAGAGGATGTGACCTGCCTTTCCCGGGACGGAAGAGAGAGACTTTTCCCTATTAGCTTTACGGGTCTCTTATCCTTCCCACCTTTCTGAGCATTGAGCTTTCACTCCAAGTACCTTTCGATCTGGGGAGGAAAAGAAATGTATCTTCAGAGGAACTGAAAAGGACGCTGGCTCCGCCCCATCTTCTTTAACAGCGGAATCACTTCGCCTCACACTAAATTACCTCAGAAACAAAACACAATCCAAAACCTGGGCATTCATAAACACACTCAGCCATGTTTTGAGATACCCGCTCAAGCGGAAGCGTATTAAAACGCACCCGGCAAGACGTAACCTCTCTGCGCGGCCTGTTGCGTCACGGCCTCAGCTGCGCGGCGGGGGAAGAGGGGCGGGAGGAGCGAATCAAAGAGGAACCGGGGAATTCAGACAAGGACGCTGGCGGTGAAGGGAGAGAGGGCGGGCCTGACGTCTCCTACACCGCGTTGGGTTTAACACGCAGCGTTTTTCAAACTCGGCCATTATTAAGCTGCGTGGATTTCAACTCCCAGATTTCTCCAGCCAGCATTTTGGAACTTGAAGTTCAATACACTTTAAAGCTGCCAAGTTTGAAAAACTTGGTTGGTTTAATGCAACTCTTTAGGACAGGGATCTCCAACCTTGGCAACTTTAAGACTTGTGGACTTCAACTCCCAGAATTCCTCAGCCAGCTGGCTGAGGAATTCTGGGAGTTGAAGTCCACAAGTCTTAAAGTTGCCAAGGTTGGAGACCTCTGCTTAGGATTCTAGGTGTGCTCGAACTGAATTAAAGTCTCCTTATTTGCGTGGCACATCTGAGGTTGAAAAAGCAGGAAAAAAGAGGCTTTTCAAACACTGCGCACCAGCGCGCAGCTCACAGCTGATGTTTTTTTTTACAGGCACTTACAAAACGTAGTCACCGAACTGGCAGTAACACCGGTTGAATCCCACCCCTGCAACCAGTGCATATTTACTTGGGAACAGGAACTGTGGAATGCATTGGAACTTATTACAAAATATGCATGTTTGGATATACGTTTTCTGAGCTCAGTGTGTGTCCACTAAAGTTTTGTCTTGAGAGAAGTTTATGCAAGCATACTTATTACAAATTGAATGCCTTATTTTACAGGCAGTTAAGTTTAATAGATAATTATTAATTCAAATATCATTTGAAGTTCTTGTTCCCTCCCCCCTTGCGCTTCTTTTTGTAGCCTTAGTGACAGTGGTTGTATTCAAAAAATTTTACTACTGGTTCTGTGGGCATGGATTGTGTCATAGATTGGTGGGTGTGGCTTGGTGGGCGTGGCAGGGGAAGGATATTATAAAATCCCTATTTTCACCTCACTCCAGGGGAAGGATATACTGCAAAATCCCCATTCCCTCCCCACCCCACTAACCTGCTTTCCAGCTTCATTCTCCTGTGCAGGGCAACAAAAGAAGACCCAGCTGATCAGACTCTGATCAGCTGGGACTAAGGAGGCAGAGAATAGATGGGGACTGGGCCAACCAGAGGTATTTACCAGTTCTCAAAATTTCCGCTACTGGTTCTCCAGAACTTATTAGAACTGGTGAATACCACCTCTGCTTAGTGTGCATGTATGCATATCTATATCATGTAGGTATCTATATAAGGATAATATGCATTGTAAATCTATAAAACAGAAATATTTACTGGAAGAGAAATTTCCAGGACTGAATTCAATGGATATTGGCAGTCCTCATATAGATGGCAAAGGATCTCAAAAGCATATAGAACTTTAGTGTTATAGTCCTTTTGCTTGGCATAATTTCTTCCAAATGAGTGGCTGTTTTAAATTCAAAATAATCTTTCTTTTGGATAAATGCAATATTTACCATCTAAAATTAGTCCCTTCTACATCCCTATATATGTGTGGGTGTGTGTGGGTGTGTGTATATATGGTATTCAGCTTTGTTCGGGTATTTTCCCACGTCATTGTAGTTGTGCTTTTAAAGTTGTAGCAACGTTTTGGCAGAATCTCATCTGCCATCATCAGGCTTCTGCATCAGTTCATCTGACGAACTCAATTCAGAAGCCTGATGATGGCAGATGAGATTCTGCCGAAACGTTGCTACAACTTTAAAAGCGCAACTATAATGACGTGGGAAAATACCCGAACAAAGCTGAATACCATACATGTAAGTACCCGCGAAAACTTAAGAAAACAAATATATATATGTGTGTGTGTGTGTTTGCAAAACTGTTTATCTTAGAAGATATAAGATTGATATCCTGATATAAGAAATTATGGCTCCGGTTTGCAGCGCTTCAGCGGCAGGCAGGAATCCGCGATCGTGCACAGTTTCTGCCTGCGCTCACCGCTGGAGTGCCCCGAGCCAGCCGGCTTCGGGGCTAAGCCACCCCATAGAGGTGGTGAAGACAGGGGAGACCTGGCAGGGTCGAGGGGAGCTGCACCTCTCCTCCTCAGCTGGCTAAACTCCCTTTTCCGAAGGCTGTAAGAGCGGCGGTCAGAAATGGCCGCCTCAAAGAAGCACTCAGCCGGAAAAGAAAGTGCAGGAGGAAGTTAAGAAGTGAAAGTTTTGGCTGACCGGGATAAGAAGCAACAACCAAGGTATCCTGGAATTTAAATTTTTAAAAAAGATACATCGTTCCCAAGGAAGATTCGGAAGCAGCGAATGAAAGTGAAAAGGGAAAGGTTTTTTTTTTTACTCTCCTTCCTAACGTTGACAGTGAACAGAAATGAATGAGAAATCGGAAAAACCCGCTTTGGCATCAATAGGTAATTAAACTGGATAATTAAATGTCAAGGGGATAATAAGGATTTCTGAACACTAAAAAAAAAAACTTTTTTTCTTGCTGTAAGTGGGAAGGGAGAGGAAAAGAATAAGAGTAGGATTCGGAAGGAGGAGACTGCCTAGAATTTAAAAGAATCTGTTTAAATCCTAACAAGACTTCTAAAAGATACATTTTAACTGGAATTTTGTAACTAAACAGTAACCCCCAGGAAGAGAAAGTGAAAAAAGAAGAAAGCGTCAAAAGAAACAGCTTGTGTGTATCTGGATTGCTTGGTGACTTTGGGACTTTTGGAAATTATATTTGAATGACTAAAAACACTTGGGTGGTTGTTTGAAAAAAAATTTTTTTACAATGGCATCACTTGTGGATGAAGTGAAAATGGATTTTAAAAAAATACAAAGAAGAGGAACAAGAAGGGAAGGACTCTCTTGGCTTTCTTTTCCAATTCTTAGAAATGGCGATCTGTACCTATGAGAAACTACAAGAAAGAACTGTGCAACAAGAGGATTGGGACAAAGAAGAAGCTATCTTTAACGAACAAGTAACTTTACTTGGGGAAGAAAGGGGAAAGGAGGGAAAGAAAATGGAGACATTAAGATCTAAAAAAACAACCGAAAAAGGGAAAAATAAGGTGAAAAGTGGATATAATGTTAGAAAGCAACAGAAAGGGGGAATACAGAAGAGGGAAGTGGAGGTGGAGAGACAAGGGGGTAAAAAGGGCAGAGAGAAGAAGCAAGGGAGGAAGAGAAACTTCAAAGGTGTGAAGCAAGATGTAAAGAAACAGGACTTATTTAGAGATAATGGGTAAAAACTTAACTGAAAAAGTGATTCTGCAAAGGTACATAAGATTGTATCGTTATATTTGTATTAGAAATAATGTAAATAAAAATATTTTATTTAAAGAAATAAATTGGAAACAACATGTGATTAAAAAGTGGGATAAAATATTCAGTGTAATTCAGTGAAACTTTTGTGAACAAAAGAAAGGAAATGAAATAAATGAGAGAATTGAATTAAGAAGGAATGGGAACATTTTAATGACACAATGTTTTAAAATACAAGTGAAGTAGGGGGGAAATAATTATGGAAAGTTTATAAGTGTTCCCATAGAAGTATGATACTTATTTGAAAAGTAATGTTTAAAATGTTTAAGATTTAAATGAATATTAATATTAATGATAGATTTGAATGGGTATGGATTGTTGTTTTAATTATATTATATATTTATATTTTTTTCTCTTTTTAAAATATAGTGTGTAACTTTAGAATGTACTTAACAGAATCCAAATGGAAGTTATGTATTATACTAAGTGTTATAAATTTAGGGGAAAGAGATAAAGGCGTCATACTCCAATCAGTGATTACAGGAGAAATTTTGTTTAATGAGAAAAGATAATAGACAGCTGGAAACAGGACAGACAAAGAATATAAGTATAATGATTTGAACTGAGATGAGATAAATAAAATAAAACTAAGAAAGTTAAAAGAGGGGAGAAGCTATATAGAAAATGTAGAATGGCAATAAGATATGGAATGGTATATAAAATGAGCATGAATTTGAATTTGTGTCTGTACGAAGAGATGTAACCCGGGATCAAGCTGCTTTCAAAAAAGATGTTTTATGTTTTTATGTTTTATGTTTTGTTTGTTTGTGCTTGTTTTTGAAAATCAATAGAATTTGTTAAAAAAAAGAAAGAAAAGAAATTATGGCTCACAGTCCTTTAATTGAGCTACTATTAGCCTGGTTTTGCTTTCAGTATAACAGACCACAACTAGAGGCTGTTAGGAATTTGATCTTTCTCCACGTGTAATGTTCCAAAGAGTAAGAGTCATTTTGCTTTGTGATGTTAAGGAAGCTCCTGCAAAGTCAAAAGGAGAGAAAATACCCTGCTTGCTGGTAATTTCAGTAAGCTGTGCTAGAACTTGGCACAACTTGCCCTTCTCTAGAAAAACACTGTGTCTTGTATATACAGGTACAAGTTTTAAAAGGTTGTAATATTGCCAGATTCCAAGTCAAAGCAATAATTGAAACCAAACATCATGCAATTCAGCTGTCCCAGAATGAAATTTGGCAGCCCTGAGTCCTGCAACTGAATGGAATTCCAGGTTTTAGGTGATGGAATATATTAAGCTTCTTAACATAAGAGTAATTAGTGGCCATTGAAGCCAGTGGCTGAAATTGTTAGTGTGAAGTTGTGCTGTTGTTTTATTATTAAAAATAATAGTCCTGTGAGACTGTGCAATCTGAAGTCCCTATTTCCTTCCTACTCCAGAAATCTGTTAATTAATGTTGACTTGACATAAAAGGGAAATAATTATATTAGTCTTTGTTATCTATGGAGATTCTCAGTTATCCAGGTCATGGTTGTCCCTAAGGTACTTTTTCGAGAGGCAACATGACTTTCTGATTATTATTTTTAAGATGTTTTGCTTTTCATCCAAGAAACTTCCATCAGATCTGTTTTGAAGAAGCTCTGAAGAAGTTTCTTGGGTTAATCTTTCTTATTTTCACCTATT